TCGATATTTTCTCACATTAAGCACTAATTCTAGAACAGTTTCGAGAATAGTAGAAGCCTTACTCTGACTCCAGAAGAGTGAATTATTACACTACAATCACAAAATATGAGCAAACTGCACTAGAGCAAGTTTCAAGTAATCGAATACGCGATAATAAAGTCTGTTTTTTCTTAAAAGATAATTCCTCAAGTCAAAAATTTAGTAACTGTTGGTAAAACAAGCCTTTTCTACATAAAAAATTTGAAAGCATTGACAATTTTACATTGAATTGCCAACATAATGTCATTTTGACTTTTATCTTTAAAAAAAAAAACAGATTTTAACATATTCGGCACCTTTGCACTTGTTCTAGAGCGTGTTCGTATCACAAAATTAGTGACCTCAATATCTATATTCCAAAATTCGTCTCTGCATTGAATCAGACGTAGTGTTTAAGTTTCTTTGCACTCACTCTGGAGTAATTTCCTACCTAGAGCAAGACGCAAATATGAATGTTTTAAATAATGATAATATTCACATTTTTTCTATTCCAGGCTCTTCAATTTTCTTTATTTCAACAAATTCAAGAGCCGGGAATAAATAAAAGATTGAGAATAAAAAAAAGATGTAAGTAGAGAAATTATCGATATTTTCTCACATTAATAACAAAAAGGTACTAATTCTAGAACAATTTGGAGCATAGTAGAAGTCTTACTCTGACTCCAGAATCATGAATTATTAGACCTCACTTACAAAATGCGAGCAAACTGCACTAGAGCAAGTTTTAGGAATTCGAATACGTGATAATAACGTATTCGACACCCTTGCACTTGTTTTAGAGCATGTTCGTGTTACAAAATTAGTGACCTCAATGAACTTCAAATTTGTGTTCCAAAATTCGTCTCTGTATTGAATCAGACGTAGTGTTTAAGTTTCTTTGCACTCACTCTAAAGTAATTTCCTACCTAGAGCAAGACGCAAATATGAATGTTTTAAATAATGATAATATTCACATTTTTTCTATTCCAGGCTCTTGAGTATTCTTTATTTCAACAAATTTGGAGCTGGGAATAAAGAAAAATTTAAATAAAAGATTAAGAAAAAAGAAGATATGTTAGAATAACTATGGTAAGTATTGATATTTTCCCACATCAATATCAATATGAACAAGAAAGCACTAATTCTAGAGCAGTTTGAAGCATAGTAGAAGTCTTACTCCCATTCTAGAATCATGAATTATTACACTGCACTCACAAAATACGAGCAAACTTATAGAGCAAGTTTTAGGTAATCGAATACGCGATAACATATTCGGCACCCTTGCACTTGTTCTACAGCATGTTCGTATTACAAAATTAGTGACCTCAATATCTATATTCCAAAATTCGTCTCTGTATTGAATCAGACGTAGTGTTTAAGTTTCTTTGCACTCACTCTGGAGTAATTTCCACCTAGAGCAAGACGCAAATATGAATGTTGTAAATAATGATAATATTCACATTTTTTCTATTCCAGGCTCTTCAATTTTCTTTATTTCAATAAATTCGGGAGCCGGGAATAATTAAAAATTTAAATAAAAGATTGAGAATAAAGAAAAGATGTAAGTAGAGAAATTATCGATATTTTCTCACATTAATAACAAGAAGGTACCTACTAATTCTAGACCAATTTGGAGCATAGTAGAAGTTTTACTCCGACTCCAGAATCATGAATTATTAGACTGCACTTACAAAATACGAGCAAACTGCACTAGAGCAAGTTTCAGGAATTCGAATACGTGATAATAACGTATTCGACACCCTTGCACTTGTTTTAGAGCATGTTCGTGTTACAAAATTAGTGACCTCAATGAACTTCAAATTTGTGTTCCAAAATTCGTCTCTGTATTGAATCAGACGTAGTGTTTAAGTTTCTTTGCACTCACTCTGGAGTAATTTCCACCTAGAGCAAGACGCAAATATGAATGTTGTAAATAATGATAATATTCACATTTTTTCTATTCCAGGCTCTTCAATTTTCTTTATTTCAATAAATTCGGGAGCCGGGAATAATTAAAAATTTAAATAAAAGATTGAGAATAAAGAAAAGATGTAAGTAGAGAAATTATCGATATTTTCTCACATTAATAACAAGAAGGTACCTACTAATTCTAGACCAATTTGGAGCATAGTAGAAGTTTTACTCCGACTCCAGAATCATGAATTATTAGACTGCACTTACAAAATACGAGCAAACTGCACTAGAGCAAGTTTCAGGAATTCGAATACGTGATAATAACGTATTCGACACCCTTGCACTTGTTTTAGAGCATGTTCGTGTTACAAAATTAGTGACCTCAATGAACTTCAAATTTGTGTTCCAAAATTCGTCTCTGTATTGAATCAGACGTAGTGTTTAAGTTTCTTTGCACTCACTCTAAAGTAATTTCCTACCTAGAGCAAGACGCAAATATGAATGTTTTAAATAATGATAATATTCACATTTTTTCTATTCCAGGCTCTTGAATATTCTTTATTTCAACAAATTTGGAGCTGGGAATAAACAAAAATTTAAATAAAAGATTAAGAAAAAAGAAGATATGTTAGAATAACTATGGTAAGTATTGATATTTTCCCACATCAATATCAATATGAACAAGAAAGCACTAATTCTAGAGCAGTTTGAAGCATAGTAGAAGTCTTACTCCCATTCTAGAATCATGAATTATTACACTGCACTCACAAAATACGAGCAAACTTATAGAGCAAGTTTTAGGTAATCGAATACGCGATAACATATTCGGCACCCTTGCACTTGTTCTACAGCATGTTCGTATTACAAAATTAGTGACCTCAATATCTATATTCCAAAATTCGTCTCTGTATTGAATCAGACGTAGTGTTTAAGTTTCTTTGCACTCACTCTGAAGTAATTTCCTACCTACAGCAAGACGCAAATATGAATGTTTTAAATAATGATAATATTCACATTTTTTCTATTCCAGGATCTTGAATATTCTTTATTTCGACAAATTCAAGAGCCAGGAATAAACAAAAATTTAAATAAAAGATTAAGAAAAAAGAAGAGATATAAGAAAAAATATGGAAAGTATCAATATTTTCTTACATTAATATCAATAAAATCTGTTTTTTTTTAAAGATAAAAGTCAAAATGACATTATGTTGGCAATGCAATGTAAAATTGTCAATGCTTTCAAATTTTTTATGTAGAAAAGGCTTGTGTTGCCAACATAGTTACTAAATTTTTGACTTGGGGAATTATCATTAAAAAAAAAACAGACTTTATGAAGAAGAAGGCTAGAGCCGTTTGGAGCATAATAGAAGTCTTACTTTGACTCCAGAATAATGAATTATTACACTACAATCACAAAATACAAGCAAACTGCACTAGAGCAAGTATTAAGTGGTTTCTTTGCACTCACTCTGGAGTAATTTTGTACCTTTAGCAAGACGCAAATATGAATGTTTCAAATTATGATATTATCCACATTTTGTCTATTTCAGGCTCTTGAATTTTCTTGATTTTGAAAAATTCAAGAGCCGAGAATATACAAAAATTTAAATAAAAAAGAATAGATGTATAAGAAAAAATATGGAAAGTTTTACAGTGTATATGCATAAAGTATAACCATTATCAATTGAAAATCGCATCTCTATGGTGACTACTCAAAATTAGAAAAATACCCCGTATAATAATATAATAGCTATTTATACAAATAAGTTGCGAAATGAGTGTCTTTTAGGCACGCGACGTGAAAATTGTCCAACGAGGCAAAGCCGAGTTGGACAACACGTCGAGTGACTAAAAGACATCGTTTCGTAACGTATTGTATACAAGATTTTTTCTACTGACGTTTCATAATAAAAAAACACAATTTTATTTCAATGTTTGTCGCCTGCTTTTGCTTGACACCTTTCATGTTGGTGACTAATATTCATAATAAATACAAAACAAAATTCAAATTTGCATTTAGTGTGTTTTTTATTTCTGAACAATGAATAACACTTTTAGGCACTAGTGCTTAAAAGTTACTTTTACGCACTTGAAAGTCGCTTTTACGCATTTGAAAGTCACTTTTACGCACTGGAAAGTCACTTTTACGCACTGAGTGCCTAAAAGTCACTTTTACGCACTGAGTGCTCAAAAGAATGTCATTTCAAAACTAAAATGACAATCGAAAAGTTGCTATTATGAAACGTCAGTAGAAAAAATAATTTTTATATTTTTATGCCTTAGTCCTGGTACACTATAACAAAGACACCGCACGCCAGCAAAAAAACTTGAAAATCGTTGGCGATGCCGCTAGGCTTTGTCACTTGCCGACAAAGCTAAGCCGCTCTTGTTGACAGTGTGAGATATTCTCTTGAGAAGTGGACAAAAGTATAAAATTACACAGATAATTGAATAAAAATCAATTTCAAATTTGAATTTTTAATAAAGGAATAATAGTCCCATTCAAATATTTATATTTGATTTATTTCAATAGTTTAAAACGGAATTTTAAGGATTACTTACTATATGAATTTTGCCCATTTATTTATTGTATTAACTCCACTGTATCCTAGAAGTAAATCAGCTAGAATTTCTGGGCAATGGCGTTCGTCATTTCAGTTTTTATAGAAATATCTGGAGTATGTTTATTCTTTATTAACCAATTTGTTTTCATTTGTCATGATAATAGTATTCAGACGCCTGCCTATGGATTCCCACGTGACTTCAAAGAGATAAACTGAGCCACCTTTTTTATGAAATTTCAATTAATAATGGTTAAACTTTACATAAATTAACCATTTAGTAAAGAAAATATCAAAATTTTAAAAATATAGTTAATAACATAATGCAGTATTAAAGTTTGAAACTTTTAGGATGAAAAGAATAAACTTAGCAGCTGAAAATATCAAATAAATCCTTATAAGTTGTAGCTCAAAAGAACCATGTGGTATATAGACTTTAACCTACACCACACTAACACCCACACACAAAACCAAAATTAGAAATGACTCTTTTCCAAAGGTACTTACGTGAAAGAGCTGTGAGCCAATCCACTCAAATACTCAATGAAAACCGAATACGGAACTTGAGTGTCTCCTAAGTATTTGATTTCTTTAGGAGTTCCAATTGCCGTCTTACCCTGTAGGAATAGGAAACTTTTTAAATGTCACACCTATTTTTAGTACAGTCTAAGAATAAAAATGACTCAAAAATAGATTTGAGAATTAAATACCCCAAATTGAAATCTACACACTCTATCTATTCTAGGGCCTCTAATTCTCTAAGACTTTTTACTCCTAAAGCACTGAATCAAAATGAAAATGAGGTCTCAAATCGACACAGCAATCTCCCTACTCTTAAAATATCCAGCTAAAAATAAAATTCTGATGATTTTGTATTTATAAATAATGCCAGAAGAGTGTGCCAACAATTTATATGAAGTTATTTTATTTGTTTTTATTTATTATAAATTGTATTTATATTGTATTACTTACCGGGTTGCAACTTTCTACCCCATGAGAACCGAAGAAGTATTCTCTATTGTAGACCACTATAGAGGTGTGCCAGATTCCTTCAATTCGCTTGCCTTTTTGTATAGAATATATTAATTAATTTAACCTTTTAAAAAATAAACTCACTTACCAATTAGCATGGGGCTAAGATGGGCAGCCATCCCCATAGACAAATCGTAAATGTACACTTCAACCCTGTGAGATTCCATAACTATTTTAAGCCCCAAAAAAAGTAAATTTACTACCCCAAAGGATTTGTTATTGATTAGCTAATCAGCTGACTGACAACTTTTTCTTCTAGAACAATCAAAAATTCTAGAAAATCAGAAATGACTCTGTCACTCGACAAGGTGTTTTCTAGAAGAAAATGATTTTTGGTTATTTTGCGGTGCACTTTTGGATTCCAGCCACGGAAAAATAATTGGAAATTTTCGGGCCGGCGTTTAGAATGTTTTGCAATGCGGAAACGAGTCGTTTGACAAGCTAGAGTTATTTTTAAGTGCCTCACAGTCTAAGCGACAAAATATCTCTGCCTACCTACCTGTTGGGAATTATTTATAGAAATGTGAATTTATAAATAAATATTTATAGAAACAAAATTGTAAAAAGTGCATTGTATTATCATTGAATTATTAATTGTTTATTTTATAATAATAAAGCGTATTAATTAAATTTGGGAATTATTTGAAATTAATAAATTCAAATTTATTTTCGGCGCCATTTTTTTTTTCAAATAATAGCGTTTTCGGTTGGTAGAATTAGTGCAAAGAAAATGTATATCTATCTGCTTCTTTAACAGGCTGAGGGAAAGAGACGGAAATACACTCAGTGAACAATAATATTTTAAATCAGAAAGGCCATTTAAAACCCAAGGAACGTCGGTTGAATGCAAAAATTTTGAAAGTTATTCCTTTCACACCTCTAGGGAGGAGCTTCAAAACAGGGGCGTTAAGCCTAATACTCGTAACTGCGAAATTCGCACTTTTTTGACATTGCTTCGACAAATTGATGTTTTATGCGTGAATCAAACGTCAAATTGTCGAAGCAATGTCTAAAAAGTGCGAATTTCGCAGTTATAAGTGATTGTTGCACCTCAAAACTATGCCTAAAGTGCTCATTAGTTGTATTCCTTTCACACCTAGGAGGAGCTCCGGAACAGCTCCGGGGCTTCACGCGCTTATTCCTTTCGAAAAATGTTTGTTGCACCACGCATATGTTCCCTGCAAATCGGGGGCGACTAAGCACCGAAGCGAGTAGCTCGAGTGTTTCAAGCTCTTGAAAGGAATACAACTAATCCCGAATCAAACCAACTAAATGCACGAAAGTCAGCGTAAAGGCGCTTACACACGGACGTGGATGTCTGAAAACATGTACGCATATACATGAACGCTCAAACAAAAACATCAATATGTATGCAAAATACCGTCGCGTTTTTGAATGTGCAATTTTGTATGCACACTCGGATTACTGTAGCAAGAATAGCAAGACTGCAGTTTTGTGCGAGCGTCTGTACAAACGCGACATGCACGTTGTTGTTTGCACGTTGATGTATGCACGTAAATGTATTAAGCCATCCACGCCCGTGTGTAACCGCCTTAATGTGGCATCTGTTCCTTTCAAATCGGGGTCGTCTAACACCCGAGTGAGTAGCTCTACATTAGGCGATTTTCAGCCTGGAATGATTATTTATCGGTAAATACCGTGGTTATTCTTTTGGTTGACAACTTTGACAGCCAAGTGTGACGTCATAGCCCCCCACCATCCAAGAATCATAACCCAAGGAACTGACCGCTGAAATGATTTGGTTATAGCAGTGTAGGATTATGTTTATTATTCTTATTTGTTTTTTCATTTCAACAATAGTTTTTTGTTTAGGTACAAAAAAATGGAGCTGAATCTCTCGTTAGTCTCGTTTATCGAACAGATTTTCTTAGGGGATGATCTAAACCTCGATCTAAACATGGTGAATTGCAGTGAGTGAGTGAATGTATACTTCTTTCATTGTGCCAGGCTACAACGCAACTGCAAAATCACAAAACACCAATACAAATTCCAAAAATAATAACAATAACATCAAAAAGCTGTAACCAAAAGATTAACCCAAGTCCAAAGCTGGGTTATAATCGGTTATAAGTGGTAAATACCAAAAGCAAATCAGCTGATATGTGACGTCACAACTTCCCCTACTTTGGTTAAAACCGCGATGGCGGAAATGCATTGGTTATAACCAAATAATAATCATTCCAGGCTGAAAATCGCCTATAGTATTCTAAGCTTTTGAAAGGAATATACAACTAAACCAGTACCAATACCAGTGATAACGTAGCAGCGCAACTTTGATTCCAAAATCGAGTTCCACGAGCAATAGTGGTCTATAAAATCCTTGGGATATTTGATGTTTTCGTCGGCTGGGAAAAAATGGAAACACCATTTCCCGTTTTCAAACCTGTTTTGAACCAATGTCAAAAAAGTGGACCCAGGAAAACGGCCCAAATCTTGAACCCCCCACCATGCTTAAGCACCAGTGATGATGTTTTGTCCGTCATTAATCTGACACTTTCCGTGAGGGGGTAAAGCATTAAGCAAAAATAGGTGTGACGTCAGTGCGGCTATTCTTGAAATCAGGTTACTATTGGCGTTTTAACGTAAGGAGCCACCAACTCACATTCCTTTGGAGTATCAAATTAAAATCGACGGACTGTAGACAACATGTCGTTTCTCGTCTTGACGTAGGGTATTTGCAACACAAGTTATGATTCCACGGCCTTTTGCTTCATGCGTACTTGATTTTCCTGCATTAATGTGATTGGCATGCAAGGATGATACACATTTACAGGATTGCTTATCGGCCTTGTTTTTGCCGGTAATCCTTGCCATATTGGTGTGTCACCATTTTCGTCATAACTAAGTCGTCAGCTGTTTAAACTGCCTACGTCAAGTTGAAAAATAGCATGCTGCTACGTCACAGCTGGTAACTTAGCATGGGGGGGATTTGTTACATACAGTCCTTATGAGGATAGACCATCTTGTATGTGCCATAAGCAGTGTGGCCATATATTTTTTTCAGGAGAGATGGGGTTATTTTGATAACGAGCTCGAAGGGCCGGAGTTATACGAGCCTGAAAGACCGGGGTTATTTTATCACGAGCCTGGAGGGCCGATGTTGAACGAGCCTAAAGGATCGGAGTTTTACGAGTCCGGAGTCTGAAATTATACGAGCCCGAAGAGCCAGGATTTTATAAACATTCAAGCGTATTATCAGACAAAAGTCGTTGCCCTATAAATTCGTGAATTAAAAAGACCCCGGTCCTACGCTACGGGCTCGTGGTCAAAATGACCCCGGCTCTTCGGGCTCGTGATTAAAAAAACTCTCGCCCCGCCCTACGGGCTTGTGATTGAAATAACTTTCACCCTACAGTAGGGATGGCAACGATACATCGATTTTTTCAAAACATCGATATATCGAACAATAAACATCGATACGTTTACATCGATGCAACATAAGTCGATATATCGATACATCGACATCGATACTATCGATGTATAACCTTTGAAATGTATGATTTTTTTTAATACATTTTTTGTTACTCGGCAGTCAAGAGTAAAGCTAGGTTCTACAAAATAAAAATCCCTATTCTTGATAGTTTTGATAAAAAATTGACAGTTGACTTAACGCTGTTGACAGAATTGAACAGAAAGGGCGCTTTCTTTTATTCAGCGGTGGATCCATCAGTAATCAGCCTTTCTTTGTCTAGCTGATAGAAAATTGGAATGTCTGTTTCATAATGCTGGCAGCAGATGGTTCCATTGCTGAATAAAAGAACGCGCCCAAACGCTGATTCGATCCAAGGATAATACACACTACTACTACAGGATAGCCTATCCTCATACGGCCTGTGTGGAACAAATCTGAAGCCCCCACCCCACCACGTTAAATCACCAGCTGTGACGTAGGCAGCATGCCGTTTGTCTCCTTGACGTAGACTGTTCACACCACAGGTTATGATTCCGCGGGCTTTTGCTTATATTATGTTAATATGCCCGTCTTATTTTTTAAGTCACCTTATCTAATTGACTGAATTAAAATTTTATTTTCAATAACTAAAAAGAAATAAGTAAACTATCGCATTTTAAAAAACATCGAACACATCGATGTATCTTATAAATCGATGCATTGCTTTCCGATGTCTATCGATGTCGATACATCGTAGTTTCTCCAAAAATTGCCATCCCTACCCTACAGTCCTTTTCACGTGGCTCCGGTTTAAACTAACCGGGTTACAAAAGTACAAAACGGTTAGTAGATGTATGTCAATTGTCAAGTATGACATACCGTTTCCTGTTACAAAGGGCGCTTTCTTTTATTCAACGGTGGATCCATCGGTAATCAGCCTTTCTTTGTCTAGCTCATAGAAAATTGGAATGCCAGTTTCATAATGCTGGCAGCAGATGGATCCATTGCTGAATAAAAGAACGCGCCCAAACTGAAGTGATCGATACCACTCGAATTTGAGGTATGTTGCGGGCAATGAACTATAACCAAAAACTGGAATGCTAACAAATAAGGACGAACGTGAAGCCTAGTGCGGCTGCTGCGGAGGGGATACCTGTTTTTGTCGCACTCATTATGTTAAATGGCGAAAATTGGCTTCCAACACGTATTCCAATTGATGAAACCTGTGAAGGAAAATATGACAAAACATTCGAAAACGTCATATGTCAGCGAGCAACAGAAAAAGACAACATTCCCCGTTGTGGCATCTGTCTTTCATGGCTTCATTTTTTTGGCAGATATGGCACTGTGTGCGCATTCCAGTTTTTAGTTCTAGTTCATTGGTTGCGGGTTATTAAACCGGAGCCACGTGAAAAGGGTTTACGAGTTTATATCAAACCAAGTAGGCTTTGGGAACATGTACAGGAGCGAGTTCAGGAATAACACACCCAGTGTGAGTGTGACACCGGTGCGACGCCCTAGCTGTTCAAAAATGCTAGACAGTGCTATGGGCCCAATGGCCAATTGTCAATTCAGGCACACTCATAAAATCGCACTCGCACCCTGTGCATTTTTTTTGAACTCGGCCCAGTCGTGAGCATAAAAAGTGGGAATTGAATGGGACACCCGACTGACAGGTCTTGTCATTTTTCGCTATTTTGGGTAAATCAGTCTTTTTTCTACTATGGATTTTTTTATCAAATATGACTATCCCCGTTATCGCCGTAGGTATAGCTGATGAGCTCGTTCTACAATAGGAAAAAACGGGTGTCCCACTTTTTATGCTCACGACTGTAGGTTGTTTGATTTGCACGATTTACACCCAATAATATTTCATCTGTATAATATTAATAAGAATAATAACGTCCGCTGTCGCAAACAACTAACGATATATTGATGACGTCGGCAACAGTGCATCTGACATTGATTCCAAAAATCGAGGCCGATGAGCAATCTTGTAATAGCCTGTGTAAAATCCTTAGGAGGTTTGGTGTTTTTGTCGGCTAGGAATTTATTGAATGAAATCAGCCACTTTTTTTTTTACAACTGCATTCTCCTTACCGATGCCCCGTAGCTTCACATCCCTTGCCCAGACAATACATATCGATATTTTCTCATATTAATATCGACTAGCAGTGGACAATGTGAAAGAATATCGTATCGATACCTATAAATATCGATAAACCCTTCTCTAGTTTGTTTACATTTACCAATAATTAATAAACAAATTTACTTGTGAATTATAATTATTTATAGAATACTGTACAAACTACGAAGATAACACTAATTAATTTGGATAAATAATCGGAAAAGGTAAGTTTTCTTTACTTTCAAAGGTTATGTTTTGATTAAAATTTCAAAGTCCGTCAGAAAAAAGACAAATTTCAATGTTTCAACAATGTTCAATGCAATTGTCTCGATATTACCCGACAAAATAGTCCGGGGCCTTACCGCAGCCCATTTTAAACGTAAGCAACGCTTTGTATTGTAACCTTTTGATACCAAAAAACAAAATATTTCAGTTTCAGCACTCAAAAATATCGGTTTTAGAGGCTCCCACAGCCATCACATAAGAGTGTCGCTGCCCAGAATGAAGGTCACAGTCTTACCGGCCTTGTCCGACAATTACATGTATTTGGTAAGCATCTGCAACTTATCAGAAACTAATAATTAATTATTCTATATAATACTTAGATTACTGATGAAACAACAAAACAAGCAGCAATCATTGATCCAGTTGCACCAGACACTGTTCTAGAAGCTGTCCAAAACGAAGGTGTAAATCTTACCAAAATCCTGACTACTCACCATCATTGGGACCATGCCGGAGGTAATGAGGAGCTTGTAAAGAAATTCGCAAAGCCTCTTGGAGTTTACGGAGGGGATACGAGAATCGGGTGCCTCACCAATCAAGTCAAGGATGGGGACAAGTTTAAAATTGGGGAAATCGATGTGGAGTGCATTTTTACTCCGTGTCACACTTCTGGGCATATTTGCTACTATATGAGGGACCCCAAAGGGAAAACTGCAGTTTTTACTGGTAAATATTACTAGTCTATTGGAAAAGTTTAACCATTATTAATTGAAATTTCATAAAAAAGGCGGCTCAGTTGATCTCTTTTAAGTCACGTGGGAATCCATAGGCGTCTAAATATTATTACCATGACAAATGAAAACATAATGATTAATAAAGAATAAACATACTTCAGATATTTCTTTAAAAACTGAAATGACGAACGCCATTGCCCCGAAATTCTAGCTGATTTACCTCTAGAATACAGTGGAGTTAATACGTTAAATAAATGGGTGAAATTCATATGGTAGGTAATCCTTAAAATTCCGTTTTAAACTATTGAAATAAATCAAATATAAATATTTGAATGGGACTATTATTCCTTTATTAAAAATTCAAATTTGAAATTGATTTTTATTCAATTATCTGTGTAATTTTATACTTTCGTCCACTTCTAAAGAGAATATCTCACACTGTCAACAAGATCGGCTTAGCTTTGTCGGCAAGTGACAAAGCCTAGCGGCATCGCCAACAATTTTCAAGTTTTTTTGCCGGCGTGCGGTGTCTTTGTTATAGTGTACCAGGACTAGGCATAAAAATATAAAAATTATTTCATATTATTATAAGGGGTATTTTTCTAATTTTGAGTAGTCATCAATCACCATAGAGATGCGATTTTCAATTGATAATGGTTATACTTTACCAGCATAATTTTTGGTGGTGTGAGCATACTGGTGACGTCATACTCAAGGAAATATAAATTATGGGAAATTACCATAGGCTGTTGATAGAGGGCAGCACTTTCGACAAGAAAAAATTATTTGTGTACAGATTTCATTTGAGATTTGCGATTCATACTATACTTAATACATCAACAGTCCTTTTTTTAGATAGTAAGATTTTAGTCAAATTAAGTCAAAATGAAGTGGTGTTTCTCTACTACCTTCAAGCAGGCAAGGGTACTGCTATTGTTCAGTTTGGAGTAAATATTTTAGTGAGCATAATTAACAATCTTATTCCAATTCCAGGTGACACTTTATTTGTCGCCGGTTGCGGTAGGTTCTTTGAAGGTTCAGCCTCTCAAATGTACACAGCCTTGGTCGAGAAACTCTCCATTCTACCAGATGAAACTTTGGTATTTTGCGGTCACGAGTACACCCAGCAAAACCTCAAATTTGCTAGGCATGTTGAATCAGAAAACCCAGACATTTTGAAGGCGATTGCCGAAGCGGACATTAAAAGAAACCAAGGGGTGCCAACTGTACCGTCTACCATTAAACAAGAGAAAAAGATTAATCCTTTTATGAGGGTTATGATGGGTACTGTGCAAAGGCATGCTAGTTGTGATGATGCTGTGTCAACAATGCAAGCTATCAGGAAGGAAAAGGATGCATTTAAAGCCTAAATTGTTTTATCATATAAATATTATTATTCCTTTGTTTTTTTATAGTCCTCCATTTGAGCATTATATTTTTCTTTTGAGCGCTCATATCTGTCTACGTAAACCTAAAGAGGACATTATTTATTTATTATTTATATTAATAGTTATAGTTACCTTTTTATCAGATGTTGATAAGGAATTCCATTTTATAGCCAATTGACGAGTTAATTCTTGCTTGCTGGGTTCCACTTCAAAAGGTTTTAATTCAGAGCAAATTTGTTCCATAAGTGGTTGCCTTTGTTCCTGGCAAAATTGGAAAAACGGATTCGAGGGTCTTTTTGGGGCATTAGGGTCGCGTTCACTTTTCGGTACTTTTCTTCTTGGTGGTCTTTTGGCTAGAGTTTTAGGTTTTTCAACAGGCTTGGGTTTTTCTAGTTTCTTTTCAAGTTTTGGTTTTTCCAATTTTTCAAGCTTCGCTTTGTCTTTTACAACTCCAGGCTCGTCTGGTTTTTCTTGTTTTACCTCCTTTTTGGGTACCACTTGGGTTGGATGAGGTTTTTCCTCTTCTTCGTCAGTCAAATCGGAAAGTACTTCGGGAGGGATTACTGACCAATCTTGGCCGTGAATGTTGAGCAGACGCTGCCTGAAAAATTGTACCTCTTTGTACCTTCGTTTGGTGATTTTGTTGACTTCGCGCAATCGAAACACCAACTTTTCGTTCTCTCGTTGAAACTTGACGCACTCTTGCATCAGTAATTTGTATTTAATATAGTAAGGGTCGTGTTTGCGTTTTCTATCGTAAGGAATATCGTTTTCTGAATCGTCTGACATCATTTTGATAATATTTTAAAAGTTTGTTTACAACAACTAACAACAATAACTCGATTTTGAGGTTAGGGTAAATGTCAATTTGTCAAAACAGCAGTTCGGCTTTAAAGCCTAGTACTCATAACTGCGGAATTCGGATTTTTTTGACATCGAAAATTTGACGTTTGATTCACGCATAAAACGTCAATTTGTCAAAGCAATGTCAAAAAAGTGTGAATTTCGCAGTGAGTACTAGGCTTTACACACTCATCCTCCTTAGTTCTTTTCACGTGGCTCCGGTTTAACTAACCGGGTAACAAAACGGTTAGAGAAATGACATACCGTTTCCTAGCCCGGTTACAAAGTGACGTGATGGATATAGAATTTTTAATACCTATTTAGAAGTACCAGTCGTTCTAGTGACAAAACGTATGTCGCTTTTTGAATGCACAGATAAAATTAGGTTAGGAATTTCCTATTTGTACATGAAATTAGGGATGTCAATTTTTATCAAAACACCGGTTTTTCCATTAACCGGTTAATTTAGTAACAGTTTTAACTGCCCGGTTATAACTGATATAAAACACCGGTTATTCCGATTAACTGGTTATTCAGTTATTTCTCCGAATTTTATCAGAATAATGAATAATTGCATTATTTATACTATAATGTAAAATTAGTTGAACAAAAACATATCTTTATTGTTTAAAAAAAATCGGGAACTGTTACATGTTAAGAAAAATCATCAAAGAATACCTACACTTTTCTTCTCTTCTGTCATTTTAAACATGTACCCATTGAGAATTTTACGATTTATTTAATAAGACAAGAGAAAAGTCTACATGTTTCACTTTCACCGGTTATAAGGTATGAAACCCGGTTATCCGGTTATAACTGGAAGCAAAAAACAACTGGTTTTAACCGGTTAACCGAAAAGAAAACACCGGTTTTTCGGTTTTAACCACCGGTTATTGACATCCCTACATGAAATTGACGTATTAGTAATCGACGTTCGTTTTTGTTGGTAATTTTTTGTTTCATCTGATTCGTGATTGATAAATAAGAATGAGGTTATTCTAAATGGGTATTAAAAGTACTAAACCTACCACTCGAATTTGAGCGGTATGTTGCGGTTTGGTAAACCAGAGCCACGTGAAAAGGGTTATTGCGTTCAGTATTTTGCTCAAAGAGTAGAGCGTGCAAGAGCGGAGCCATAATCACGTAATACGAGACATAGCGCACCGGACAGAGCAGAGAAATTTTAATAAACAAACCTGAATGAGTCTGCACCGAGTACACTTTTTAAATAAACGAACGGTAAAGTTATGCTCGGAGAACTCAGATCAAAATACCGAACGCACGGTCTGTAAACTCTGAGCGCGCTCGAAACGATAATATCCTGTTCGTTTTAGCTCTCGTGTTCTCTTTTTCGTTTAGCTTATGACCGCCTATGACGTCACGATATCTATGTTCTACCGTTCCGTTCCGAGGAGTGGAAAGCCGAACTTAGCCTAAGTTTCATTCAACTCAAAAAGACATACTGAGAGGAAGATGCAAACAAATCTATATAGTTTTCTTTTTTACAAAGTTGTTGATGGTAATCAAAGATATTACACACTACTACTACAGGATAGCCTATCCTCATAAAGCCTAGTACTCATAACTGCGAAATTCGCATTTTTTTGACATTGCGTTGACAATATTTGACGTTTTATGCGTGTATCAATCGCCAGTTGTGACCCAGCATGTTTTTCTCGCCTAGGCGTATTTGTTTGCCATGATCTGATCGATCCAACTTGCCGGAAGTGATATGTTATGGTGATATAATCCATGTTTGATTAAGGGCGGGTATTATAAAACTGCTTTGACAGTTAACTTTTTGGATTCCATGTATTCTCAGAAGTTAACTTTAAATTAACTCTCAAAGCAGTTTTATAATACCCACCCTAAGAACCGTTCAGTATCCCCACGACCACTGTATTGATCCGAGAGCAGCTGTAAGTGATCCTATTACTTTGGCGGTTCAGTTTGTTCGTTTAGTGATTATAATTTGATCATTTTGGAAAACTATTAAAATATTTAAGCAAAAATAGAAGATTTATACATTGGCCCCGGATGACGTCAAAAAGTTATCGGCAACCTACCTCTCTCAAACAACCTTGGACTGGACTCGAGTAGGCTTTGTAAATCCCCGAACTGCCGGCCATTTTGTCAACAAGAAGTAGCATATCTACGAGACGAGGACTATGACGTCATCATTTGAAGACCGAAATCCTGGGAAATTAAACTAAAAATAAAGCATCTTGGAACCTCTTAACAACTTCAAAGAACTACGAATGCCCGTTTTTCATTTTTAAAACCAGCGACATTTATTTTAAACAAAATCTGAAACTGTTTGTTTTCCCGTGCGTTCGGTATTTTGATCTGAGTTCTCCGAACATAAATTTACCATTCGTTTATTTTAAAAGTGTAATCGGTGCAGGCCATTTATTAAAATTTCGAGCCATCTGATACAGCATTAACTGCTCTGTTCGCTCGCTGGTCACGTGATTATGGCTCCGCTCTGCACGTTCTGCTCTTCGAACAAAATACCGAACCGCAAGGTAAGTAATAGAAAGTTCTCGTGCGTCACACGATACGCTAATACGGTACCGCTAACAATACGGTATATCACATGGTATTTTATAGTTCTCGGGCACGAAGAGACATAAATCCTCTAATCCCTTATTCTGTTCACATTTTGACAGCTGAGTTGAGTGATCTAACCCCACTTTTTTTGCTTTTTAATCTAACTTTTATTTATTCCAAAGATTCCTGAGCTTGATTCATTTTCCCTTGGTGTTTTTTATGGGCGAATTATTAAAAGTTGCTGTTTTTGCAGACATAAATGGAACGTCAACTAGTTATGACATAGCATAGCGTTACGGTAAAGCATCCGGTAAGTTCCGTTAGATAGCGGGCTCCGCTAACGCTAATACCGTAAGAACTGTCATACTTGTCAAATAGCGTAACGGTATTTGAAATTTGGACGGCACGAGAACTCTCTAATATGAGAAAATATCGGTATGTATTGTCTGGCAGAGGATATCTGAAACTACGAGTGATCGGTAAGGGGAATGCAGTTGTGAAAAAAAATGACTGATTTCATTCATTAAATTCTCAGCCTACAAGGCTACAATGACAACCTCCCAAGGATTTTACGTACTACTACAGGATTGCTCATCGGTCTCGATTTTTGGAATCAAAGACAAATGATGTTGCACTGATGTAGACGTCATTAATGATGTCGTCTGTTCCTGTCCTCAAGGGTAGTTTGAGAGAGGTAAGTTGCTGATGACTTTATGACGTAATCAAAAGTGCCTTAGCATAATGCAAATCTCCATAACGCATCCCAGATGTGTTATCAAATTACCCATTAATATAGGATTTTAAAGAACCAATCAAAAAGAAGATGGCAATTGTCGCTACTGTGGTAATAGAGTCAATGTAGTTAGCTCTAAACTAAAACCAACTTTTCGCGACGAATGTAGTTCATCAATAGTTCATCCAAGGACGAACCAAGCTTCGTCTTGTGACGTCATGAGTTTGAACGCTGGTCATAGTGCAATCTATAGTGGCGATAATTGCTGTCTTATTTTTGATTGGTTCCATAAAATCCCATATATATTCATATTTAAAAGTAACAAGAGGTTGGGCACAAAATGGCGGCGAGACCTCTGGAGTGCGTTCGAAATCACCCTGGGCGTCACACCGAGTGCACACCAGCCATGTATTTTTCATGGCTGGTGTGCACTCGATGTGACGCCCACGGTGATTTTGAGCGCACTCCGTCATTGCCACTGTATAGCCTAGTACTCGTAACTGCGAAATTCGCATTTTTTTGACATTGCTTCGACAATTTGACGTTTGATACACGCATAAAACGTCAAATTGTCAACGCAATGTCAAAAAAATGCGAATTTCGCAATTATGAGTACTAGGCTTATGAAAGGTTTCAGCAGCATTTCAAACGCCGCTGAAAACCCGCCAAATATGACGTCATTCCCTACAACTAAAGTCTGTTTTTTTTTTTTTAAGATAATTCCACAAGTCAAAAATTTAGTAACTATGTTGACAACACAAGCGTTTTCTACATAATAAAAAAATTGAAAGCAAGACAATTTTACATTGTACTGCCAACATAATGTCATTTTGACTTTTATCTTTAAAAAAAAATAGCTATTTTCCTAACGAGTGCTGGAAATTTCTTCCCGCAAGAGTTAGGAACTATATTTTTTCTACGAGCATACTAAGCTGATGTTATGAAGAGTTTAATTTAATTAAAATGCGATTATGCAGAAGGTAGAATTAAAAATGTATTAAAAGGTATTTATAAAAAGGTAAAGGTACAGGTAGGTATAGGTGTATTAACAATACAAACAATTCTATGTCACAATGATTATTTCAAACTCTTCCCGCACAGCAGATCGTGTGGGAATAGCCATTTCCCGCACGCTCATTTTAGCAAAAACATACTGCAAATAAGTACGTTGTCAGATTGTCGTTATCATTGTTGATTTCCAAGATTGCCTTTAGAAACCTCGTTTTTATCCTTGCATTATATAGTTTTTTGTTGTATATTTTGGACTACAGTTATAAAATTAAAGTATTATTACGTCATACAATGGCGCTATTTCAGTACGTTTAAATATGTGGGATGAAAACAGCATTTTTGAAAATTATTTTACCAAAAATTAGAACATTTTTAACCCAACTGGAAGCAAGGGTATTTTTATTTTGCTTAATACAACTGATTAAGGCCCAGTTGTACAATCTCGGTTCAAAATAAAGTTCAACTGAACTCGACTGGTACTTAAGCTTTCCCATTTAAAATATATGACAGCAATGCATTTCAAATGGGAAAGTTCAAGTACCACTACTACCACTCAAGTTTAGCTGAACTCTGTTTTGAATCAGGATTGTACAACTGTGCCTAAAAATAATAAAACAATGAAATTCAAATATGGTGAATGTCCCCATTCAACCAATACGTCAAGGCAAGAAAGGACATGCTGCTACGTCATCACTGGTATTTTGGCATGGTGGTCGGTGGGGGGCTTGAAAAATGTTATGACGTCGGCAATGGTTGAAAACCAATATGGCGCGATTACCAAAAACGAGGCCGATAAGCACTCCTTAGATAGAATGTGTATTCTCCTTGGTATCACCAGTGCCAGAAATTTTAATAAATGAACGCGAATGAGCCTGCACCGAATACACTTTTTAAATAAACGAACGGAAATTCAAGCTCAAAGAATTCAGATCAAAATACCGATCGCTTATAATTTACTAGAATTGCGTGTGTCAATAATTCTGACGAGAGCTAAAAATAACGAAATAAAAATATTTAAACAAGTCATGCAATGTCGTGTGCCGTTGCCAACCAAAAATATCTGAAATTCCCCTATTTTAAATGTATTGAAAAGTTCTTTTAGTTTTGTAAAGGTTGGCAGCAGAAATTTACTAAATGTGACGTCATTCAAAATATAGCGTATAAAAATCCTATATTACCAGTGCTTCGGCCTTGTTTTTGGTAATTACGGCCATATCAATGAAATAGAATGGAGGTTTGGAATGAGCTTTGCGTCATGCAATTGATTCCAGCATGAGATAGCGCTAGTAAGGGCAAAAAATCTATTGGATCTCCCATATCTCTCACTCTAACCCTGAGTGAGATAGCACTAGTAGGGGCAAGAAAATCTCATGGATCTCTCCTGTTCTCTCACTCTAATGTTGGCCGCAAATATATGCATCGAGTAGATAGGCAAAGGGGCTATTCCAACCTCTTAACTACTTTATTGGGCCATATTGGTGTAGCACCATTGCTGACGTCATTAACTAAGTCGTCAGCTGTTTGAGCCAGCGGTCGTCATTTAGAATTTAAATTTATGATGAAAAAACAAGGCAAAAAACCAAGGTTGTAGGTTACCTGATAACTTTATAACGTCATCTGGGGTGCCTCAACATAATACAAATCTCCACAAGGCACCCCAGACGCGTCATAAGGTTACCCATTACCAGGCAACCTTTAACGAAAAACGACAAGCTGCCTACGTCATCACTGTTGCTTTGGCATGGTGGGGCACTTGAGATTTGAGCTACACAGGCTTAACGAAGGTAAGCTATCCTTATAATCCTTGTCATGCATCATCATCGAAAACGTACATATCGATATAAGTATCGATAAGCCCTTCTCTAACTTCAATGTAAACAAACTTTGAAAAGTGAGGTTAGAAACCTTCATTTAATTTTAAAATTTTGCACAATAAAATATAAAATTTCCTAATGTTGTACTAATCCTAGAGCAAACAATAACAATGAACAAGTAATCCAGCCTCATTAACAAGGTAACCAACAAATTCCTCACTCAATAGTTCACCTTTTAAAACAAAATGTTCCAGTTCGTTGTAGATATGATTAGAAGACTAGTGAATAATGTCTTACAAAATCCCACAGAAACCATAGTCTACTCCAACCCGTTTCTGAAAAAAGACACCCAACATTTTGGGTGGCTCACCAACGTGGCCCCATGTTTTCCAGTCCCCTCAAACAATATAAAAATCATTAGTGAGCCAAAACAATTCTACGAGGAATTATTGGAGCTTTGCAAAAGTGCCACTCAAAGAATTACCTTGGCCAGTTTGTATTTGGGCACCGGTGAGCTGGAAAAGCAATTAGTCAAGGCTTTATCCACTAATAAGCAATTTCAAAACAATAAACTAATTATTAATGTTTTACTGGACTATACAAGAGGTAGCAGAGATGAAGTCAATTCACGCACAATGCTTTGTCCTTTATTGTCTCAAAATCCTAAAAACTGTACAATTTCTTTGTATCATACTCCAGCTTTAAGAGGACTATTAAAAAAATACATGCCCAATCGTTGGAACGAGTTAATAGGGCTTCAACACATGAAACTATACATTTTTGATGATACTTTAATTATTAGTGGAGCTAATTTGTCTAATGATTACTTCACCAATAGACAAGACAGATATTTTTTAATCAAAGACAAAAAACTAACAGACTTCTATTGCCGCTTGATTAATAAAGTACAAAGTTTCAGTTTAAAAATAGACAAAAATAACAAAGTTAGTTATAATAATAATTGCCCTTATGAGGGCAATAAGAAGGAGTTTGTTAATAAAGCTAGAGATTTAATAGAAGATTATTTAGAAACAACTACAATAAATCAAAATATGTGCACCACAATGCAAGGCTGTGGTAAGTAATCATTTGTAAATTTACTAGATTTAATTCCCAATATAAAACAGATACATGGATTTTCCCAACAATCCAAATGGGCCAACTATTGATCAACCAAGACTCGATCATAACAGATAAAATTCTAGCCGAAGCCCCTCATAATAGCAAACTAAATATTGCCACTGGGTATTTCAATTTGACCAATCAATATATGAATACATTGATAAACAATTCGCAAGGCAATTGTGAAATTTTAATGGCACATCCTAAAGCCAATGGGTTTTTGGGTGCTAAAGGGGCTGCAGGTGGGATTCCTTATGCTTATTCGCTAATAGCACATAAATTTAAAAGGCAATACGAATATAAAGGGCAACAAAACAGGATTAAATTGTTAGAGTATTTAAAAGAAGGCTGGACTTATCATGGGAAAGGGTTATGGTTAGTTGATAACTAATTTTTTCATTGTAAATAATGTATTACCAATTACTTTTTGTAGGTATTATGCACCTCAAAGTAACTATCCTTGTATGACAATTATTGGATCTCCAAATTTCGGAGATCGTTCTGTAACTAAAGACTTAGAAACTCAGTTGGTTATTGTTACGGAAAATGAAAAACTACAAATGGAAATGCATAGGGAGTGTAGGAATTTGTATGAGAAAGGATTGCCAGCGGATACGCAAAGAAAAGTGCCCTTTTGGGTTAACGCTTTTGTTGTGTTTTTTAGGAGTTATTTTTAAAAATTTTTATGAATTTGTAGATTGTTTTATTTATAGTATTTGTTTAAAGGATTTAAGAGTTTCTGTTGATAATTTTCATTGATAGGTACAAAAAAGAGTTTCTTTACCACCCTGTATTTTATTTCATAAAATTCCCTCACATTTAGGGGGAAGTTTGGTAGCTTTTAGTGTATAAAGAGAGAGATTTGGGGCTCATCATACAAAAATTGTAAATTGATTCAATAGAAAATAATGACATGAGAAAATCTTCAATATCAATTTTGAAAAAATAAAATGAAAAAATTGACCCACACCCCTATATTTAGATTTTTTTGTTGAAAAACTAGTGAGAGGAAAAATTTAAAACTTCTGAAGTGAAAAGAGGAAGGTTGAAAGCTCATCATACTTAAATGTCTGATGGATCCATAATGGAAAATACCAACATAAGAAAATATTGAATATCAACTTTCAGAAAGAAAAATTTAAAAATTCCTTGCCAGCCGTCAAACTTAGGAAAATCATACCTCGTATGAAAATTATTGAAAATTTCATATTTTCCTTTTTTTTTTGAGGCACCTAGATAGTGTTTCACGTTCAAATTTGAAAATATGCTTGTTCAAGGGTTGCTTTATCATCCCTCAAAAGGAAAATTCCAATTCCTTGCCAGCCATCAAACTTACGAAAATCTTCCCTCGTAAAAAAAAAATATTGAAAATTTCATTTTTTCTTATTTTTTCTTCAGACACCTGGATGGTGTTTCACGTTCAAATTGAAAACATGCTTGTTCAAGGGTTGCTTTATCATCCCTCAAATGGAAAATTCCTTGCCAGCCGTCAAACTTACGAAAATCTTCCCTCATAAAAAAAAAATATTGAAAATTTCATATTTTCTTATTTTTTCTTCATACACCTAGTGAGAAAGAAAAATCAAAAAATTGCACCCTCTCATATTTTGTCGTTTTATAGTAAAACTTCTGAGGCTCATACCTTTAAGCTCATCATACTAAAATTGCAAATTGATCCAAAAGAGAATAACAACGTGAACTCATCTACATCTACAATAGATCCTGCAAATTTCCAGCAGCAACTTTGTTGGGATTTGAAATAAAACAACATTTAAATCGAAAACATTTCATCAGACTTGTAAGAAAACAGTATTTTTTTTTTTTACATAAATTACAACTTTGATGAACAAATGCGAAAGTTAAAACTACTAAAATAAAAAAATCTTGCTTGGGTGAAGCCATTTCTACCTGAGTGTAAAAAAATACATTATTATTTTTGTCTTTGTGATATACATACTATAAATACCTGTGAGTGAGTAAAAATATAGCAAAATTCCATTAAATTTAATTCAAATAAATTTATGATTGCTATATTTTCAAGGCAATATTTTTTAACTAGTTCAATCTTTGGTAGGCTTTACTTTCCTTTTCTTACTTAAACATCTAGTGGCATATGACTAGTTCAATAATATCACTCAGGAACTAATAAATTTCTCTTTTGCTCAGGGTTTTTATATAAATTATCTTAACTTAAATCTGAGCAAAAAAAAAATTATACACTAAGTGTGGTGTCACACTCACGCATTTTCACCGCTGCATTATAATAAATGAGAGCTGTCACACGCAAACGAGTTAAAAACGCATAGTGTGACACTACACTTAATTGGAAATTATTATTATAGAAAAAAAATGCAATTTGAACTTCATACCAAAACCATTTGGGTATTCAAAAACAATAGGAACTTATAAAACTCTTGTGGACAATAATAATTTCCTCAAAATGCACTTTTAAGGTGCATTCACAAACATTTCTAATAATTTAAAGTAAATTAAACAAACTTACTATTTCAGTCTTTGGAATAAACTTTAAATTAATTAAATAAATAAATAATAAACTCAACTGTGTGTTCGTATATACAAAAAAAAAAACTTATATACAATATAAAGGCGGTTACACACGGGCCTGGATGTCTACGCACATACATGAATGTGCAAACAGTAGAAATTTTGTATACACACTTGTAGCAATGTATCAAGCCATCCACACCTGTGTGTAACCGCCTTAAGAGAAAATGAACATAATCTTCATATTCAAAAAATATGAACAGGACACAAAAAAAACTAAAAATCACATTATTCTTTTTGGACTTAAACCCAAAAATATTTACATATTCGGTTCAAACACCGAACCGACTATAAACGTATTGACTGTTCACACCGTCGCCCAAATTGGTTCCGGTTTGAACGATGTCCGGGTTCATAACGTTGAACAAAACGGCGAAAATCGTACAAGCGGCGTAAACGCCTAAGGCCACCCACCATAAGAGTTGTTCGTGCAACTTTTGCTCGAAATTTTTCAGAACTAAAATGCCTATGGTCAGGCCTGCTAAGGCTCCGGTCAGATGAGCTACGTAGGACACTGGGGGCCCCGCTTCTTCCGCGTATCGAGAGTAGATTGCGTAACCTACGTCGCAAGAAGCTGAAAGTAAATTTTATCATTAGAAAGAGCATTTTTTGAAGGGTATTTTGTTGAAAGTTTCAAGTTTGTAACTACAGTTTTACAGAAGTTTTGAGATTGGAGGCATTTTTTTATTATTACCGGCTCTTGGAGGATTTGATTGTTTGGATTGAGATCCAGGAACTATAATTAGTAAATCCTGAAAGTTTCAAGTTGCTAAGATGGCTCAAAGTATTTTTCAAGAACCTTCAAAGGTGATTTATCAGGAATTTTATGAGTAAAAATACTCATAACTTTAGTTGTGAGTTTCATATCAACTGCAAATTTGTTTTGTATCATCACTTCAATTAATAAATCCTGAAAGTTTCAAATTGCTGGGATGGCTGAAAGTATTTTCCAGGAACCTTGAATGCTGATTTTTTAGGAATTTCATGATTTTCTCAAGTATTAATAAGTAAAAAAATCCATAATTTTGATTGTGAATTTCATATCGACTTTCAATTTCTTTTGTATCATGGAAAAACTCCAATTAATAAATCCTGAAAGTTTCAAGTTGCTAGGATGGCTGAAAGTATTTTTCTGGAGCCTTTAAAGGTGATATTACAAGAATATTTAAATTTTCTCAGGTATCAATGAGTCAAAAAATTCGTAACTTCAGTTGTGAGTTTCATATCAACTTACAATTTGTTATGTAACATGGAAAAACTCCAATTAATAAATCCTGAAAGTTTCAAGTTGCTAGGATGGCTGAAAGTATTTTTCAGGAGCCTTCAAAGGTGATATTACAAGAATATTTAAATTTTCTCAGATATCAATGAGTCAAAAAATTCGTAACTTCATTTGTGAGTTTCATATCAACTTACAATTTGTTTTGTAACATGGAAAAACTCCAATTATTAAATCCTAAAAGTTTCAAGTTGCTAGGATGCCTGAAAGTATTTTTCAGGAGCCTTCAAAGGTGATATTACAAGAATATTTAAATTTTCTCAGATATCAATGAGTCAAAAAATTCGTAACTTCATTTGTGAGTTTCATATCAACTTACAATTTGTTTTGTATCATGGAAAAACTCCAATTAATAAATCCTGAAAGTTTCAAGTTGCTAGGATGGCTGAAAGTATTTTTCAGGAGCCTTCAAAGGTGATATTACAAGAATATTTAAATTTTCTCAAATATCAATGAGTCAAAAAATTCGTAACTTCATTTGTGAGTTTCATATCAACTTACAATTTGTTTTGTATCATGGAAAAACTCCAATTAATAAATCCTGAAAGTTTCAAGTTGCTTGGATGGCTGAAAGTATTTTTCAGGAGCCTTCAAAGGTGATATTACAAGAATATTTAAATTTTCTCAAATATCAATGAGTCAAAAAATTCTTAACTTCATTTGTGAGTTTCATATCAACTTACAATTTGTTATGTAACATGGAAAAACTCCAATTAATAAATCCTGAAAGTTTCAAGTTGCTAGGATGGCTGAAAGTATTTTTCAGGAGCCTTCAAAGGTGATATTACAAGAATATTTAAATTTTCTCAGGTATCAATGAGTCAAAAAATTCGTAACTTCAGTTGTGAGTTTCATGTCAACTTCCAATTTGTTTTGTATGATAAAGAAACTTCATTTAACGAATCCTAAAATTTTCATGTTGCTGGGATTGCTGAAAGCATTCTTCAGGAAGCTAAAAGCGATTTTATAAGAATTTAATGATTTTTTAAAGTATTAATGAATAAAAAAAATCGTAACTTTAGTTGTGAGTTTGAGATGAACTTCCAACTTGTTTTGTATCATGAAAATACTCTAGTTGATAAATTCTGAAAGTTCCAAGTTACTAAGATGGCTGAAAGTATTTTTCAGGATCCCTGAAAGTTAATTTTATAGGAATTTCGTGATTTTCTCAGTTATTTATGAGTAAAATAATCCGTAACTTTGGTTGTGAGTTCTATATCTCAATCTAAATTTAAAAATTTGAAATTTTAAATTTCCCGCGACATTTTGAAATTGTTCAAGGATATTAGAGAAAAAGGATAAACCATTTTCTTAGTACTGTATTTTTTTTAATTATAAAATTATAGGTGGCCAAGAGAAGTTGCCAATGCCTAGAATGATCACTAAATTGCATTAATTAAATAGATGTTTTCTCGCGTGTCAAAGTTTTGGAACATTTTCCAAAAAACTGGTTTAAAACAGTTTCACAATGACGTCATAACTTCTCGGCGCGAGAAAATGGTTTGAAAACGTGGATTGGATTGTATTTCGAAACGGTTTGAACCAATTTTGTATGACGTCACGAGAATATACTATTTCAAACCTGTTTTGAACCAATTTCAAAAAGGTGGACGCGAGAAAACAGCTCGATCTAATTGAGATTATTTTTATCCATTTTCTACTTAATTTTTAATTCTTTAATGGGTCTTGTAGTGACGTCATCGCCTTGTATAATCATAGATGGTCATGAAAAGTTGCCAAATACCTGGAATAATCACACAATGTTGCAACATATTTTATCCTAAAGTAGGATTTTAATCCAAATATCATTTGAACAATTTATTAATGAGTCAAAGTCCGATAATTGATATACCGCGTCGCCTCTGCCACGCTGCAACTAAAGGTCGATTTACATTTTGTTAAATTAAAGTTTTATTGTGAAAAAATCTAAAAATAACTGTGCAAACCTCGTTATTCTACGATAAACCATCGCTGAGATATACCGCCTTAAAGTATGTGTGACGTCACGAGAGCTTCATCCAGCCACGCTCCGCATTGTTCATTTGTTTGTCCCCGATACGGGTCAGTCGTTTTTGTTCAGATTATTGCAGGTGACACAGGAAAAACATATGTAAATTTAATGCACTTCACTATTTCGTGCGTCGCTTGAGCTCTTGTGACGTCATAGGGTGAGATGCGGTACCTTCATAGAGTCATATCTTCGGTATCATTTGTCATAGAGGGGTGCGGTTTAATTTGACATAGGTACTGATCAAAGTGTAAACCGACTTTTAATGGCTGCGGAATTCACTTCGCTCGTTCGTCCCGCAGTAGTTCATTGTAAAACTGACATGTGAGTATTAGAATCATTACCTACCTGAAACATTTTTAATCTGGTCTGCCAGTGACGTCATCATCAGTACATACATTATAGGTTAGATGGCCATGGAAAATTGGCAAATGCCTCGAATAATCACATTTAATAGGTGATTTTACAATTCGAAAACTTATCACTAGCACTACATACTAATCAAAGTGTAAACCGACCTTTAATGGCTACGGAACTCGCTTCGCTCGTCTCGCAGTGGTTCGATAGTGAGTGGAGTTCATTGTAAAACTGACATGTGAGTATTAGAATCATTATCTGAAACATTTTTAATCCGGTCTGCCAGTGACGTCATCATCAGTACGTACATCATAGGTTAGGTGGCCATGGAAAGTTGACAAATGCCTCGAATCGAATAATCACATTTGAAGTTTCACTCATTAATAAAACGATTTTCAACTGAAATTGAACCAGTTTTTAAACTAATGAGTGAAACTCACTCAATTAATTCATTGAACACTGAATAGTGATCCGAAATGGTTCAATGGAGCACTTGGATTTAAAAAAAAAGAGTTGATTGAAAGTTACTCCAAATGACTCCTCCGTAATACGTATAGCTACGGAGCTTCTGACTCTTAAAAAGAACTCTAGAGTGATACGAAATTAGTTCAGTATGTTCATTTTAATTGGCCAAGTTGTACCAGAACTATACGTTTGGAGTAACTCCTAAAAAGAACCCGAACTTATTGTTTTTAGGTTAAAACTTTAGAACCGGTAAAATTAAATCATTAACGCATTCTGATGCATTCGCATAGAGTGCGTTCGAAATCCATGGCGGTTTCGGTTCGAATCGACAGTTCGTAATCCGCCCCCTGCTTTCGGGTGCCACCCTTTGAGAGGTCCTGAACTACTCCGGAGTACTCCGGCTACAGCGTGACCTATTCGGTTTCAAGCGTTCGAGTGCAAAACGCAGGGAATATGACAGTTATCAAATGTTCTAGGAGAGTTTCTCACTCTGCATCCGAAAGCGGCGTAGTTCAGGATCTATCCGGAAGCGATTCCAGTTAAACCAAAGACAAACTCAAATTAAAGTAGTGATCAACGATTTTAAACAGGACATTCAAATAATTCCAAATTAGCTCTGAATCTTTGCCTCAAAGTTTCTCTAATCACATAATGAACTCACTACGAACCAGGTCAGAACTGATTTAGGATAAAACATAGAACACATGACTACTACTAGTTCGAAGTTTTTAATGAAAAAAAAAAAAACAGAATCGATCCGGAACTGATTCTAATTGAATCGAGGACAACATAACGAACCTACTCCGAACTAGTTTGGACGTTATTTAGGATAGAACACATGCCTACTCTATAAACCGAGTTCGGAATTTCATTTTATTCGGAATAATATTGGAACACACAATCTAAAATCTGTATTAAATGAAATTTGCAAATAAAATATAGCTGCATAAAACTGCACTTATGATTTTCGAACTAGTGAAATTAGTTCAGAATCGATCCAGAACTGGTTCCTAACCAAAAACAACATAACGAACCTACTTCGAACCAATTTGGAACTTAATTTAGGATAGAACACATGCCTACTATAAAACAAAACCAGTTCGATGTTTTATTTTATTCCGAACAATGCCCGGACACAAAATTACAACTCTGTACCAGTTAAAAGTTTCCAAATAAGTTCAATAAAATTACACTTATGATTCTCGAACCAGTAGAATTAGTTCAGAATTGATCTGGAACTGGTTCTAATTGAACCAAGAACATAATGAACCTATTAGATTAGATTTTTTGAAAAAATTTTAAGGGGGGAAAAACATAAAAAACGCGATATCTCGAGAACGGACCCCTTTTGCGATCTAAAAATGACGACTCAATTTGGAAATTTATTTAGCCCCCCCATCGATGGGGAGAGTTAATTTTCAAAAATTCGGTGAGGGCGAACCGATGATCCTGTCGAGCTGAAATTTGGTACGTATGTAGTGGAACATGAGCTTTATCGAGAAAAAAATACAGGAAACCCCTATCTAGAAGGCAAAGCCCCCTGGGGGCACCTAAAAATTTTTTTTTGGTCGATTCGAACGAAATTTGAAATGTAGGTAAAAGGGGTCTAAAAAAAGGGATATTTCAAGTTTCAGCCCTCTATGACCTACCGGAGGGGTTTTAGCCCTTAGTGCGTGTAATGGGGTATACACGTCCTGCACTTACTTTTCCAAATTTCGAAAAATAAAAAATACCATTGAATAGAGGAGCAAAAAATACGTCAAAAATGTCTCTAGGTGTTTTTCGCTCCGATGCTTTCTAAGCCCGCAAAAAAATAAAAAAGATTTGGATCCTGGAAAATTTCAGGGACCCAACATGGCGCCACATTTTCGCTTATATCTTCGGTATTTTTTAACCGATTCTCTTGAGTTAGGTTTCTCTCGAAAGAGAATTAAATTACCTATAATTTTTTTTTTTGGCCGATTCAGACCAAATTCGGAATGTAGGTGAAAGGGGTCTAAAAAAGTTGATATTCCAAGTTTCAGTCCTCTACGACCTACCGGAGGGATTTTAGCCCCTATCTCCCCAATTTTGAAAAAGGGCATGTAATGGGGTATACACGTCCTGCACTTACTTTTCCAAATTTCGAAAAATAAAAAATACCATTGGATAGAGGAGCAAAAAATACGTCGAAAATGTCTCTAGGCGTTTTTCGCTCCGACGTTTCCTAAGACCGCAAAAAAAATAAAAAAGATTTGGATCCCGGAAAATTTTGGGGAACCGACACGGTGCCACATTTTCGCTCATAGCTTCGGTATTTTTTAACCGATTCTCTTGAGTTAGGTTTCTTTCGAAAGAGAATTAAATTGCCTACAAATTTTTTCGCCCCCCCCCCCCACCACTGGGATACTCTGGGGGGACTGTCAAAGTTTTGACTTCCGGCCCCAGTACAGGCCGAGTTCGTTTTTGTCATCTTTTTCATCGATTTGCTCCGAAATTTTGAAGTTGATATTCCAAGGTTCAGGCCTGTACGACCTACCGGAGGGGTTTTAGCCCTTAGTGCGTGTAATGGGGTATACACGTCCTGCACTTACTATTCCAAATTTCGAAAAATAAAAAATACCATTGGATAGAAGAGCAAAAAATACGTCGAAAATGACTCTAGGCATTTCTCGCTCCGATGGTTCCTAAGCCCGCAAAAAAATAAAAAAGATATGGATCCTAGAAAATTTTGGGGGACCCGACACGGCGCCACATTTTCGCTTATAGCTTCGGTATTTTTGCACCGATTCTCTTGGTTTCTTTCGAAAGGGGATTAAATTACCTACAAAATTGTTTTTAATTGATATTCCAGGTTGTTTCTGTCTCCGAGATATAAGTCGTCAAAATTGGGAGTTTTTCTGAAAATGTATTGAAAGTTTCGAAGTCAATTTTCTCAAAAACGGTGTCCCGTAGAGGGGTAACTCTAATAGGCTTTTTTGTAGTTCTCAATGAGATCTACAAGTTTTGTACATGAAATTTTTCTCCCAGGCACTTCGTTTTCCGGCTAGGATGCTTTGAAAATTAAAAAAAAGAAAAAAAAGGATGTTTTGAATTATTTTTGTCGCGACGGTCTAGAGGGGATCCCAAATATTTCCTATGAAAAAACTTGAAAAAACTCCAATAAATTCTGAAAGTTTTAAGTTGCTGGGATGGCTCAAAATATTTCTCAAGAACCTCCAAAGATGATTTTACAGGAATTTTATGATTTTCTCATGAATCAATGAGTTAGAAAATGTTGTGAATTCCATATGAACTTCAAATTTGGTTCTGAATCATGAAAAAACTCTATTCAACAAATGCTGAAAGTTTCAAATTGCTGCCTGAAAGTCTAAAATCCTTCAAAAATCTGAAAACTTCAGAAAATCTGAGGATCCTAACTCTAGGAATCTAGATGCGGTTATAAATAATATTTGCTCTAATTTATGATGTTTTCTCTATAAATAATAATAGTAAATTGGTTTTGGAAAGCGAGTTATTGAGCCTCAATGTTAAACATTAGCAAATTCCAAACTCAATTTTCTCTGTTTTAAATGTCAATTTTCCCAAAGCCTCTCAAGTGCCAGTAATAATCAAAAAACTCCAATCAAAAACCCATTGACGTACCTTTTTTTTTATATAATAACAAAACCCCAAAACTCACCTACGGCAAATATCCCGAACAGCCTCAAAATCCCGCACTGCATATTGTTGTAGTTCAACAAAACGTTGGCCAAATGAGCTGCCAACAGGGCATAAACTCCACCGCTGGCTCCCACTAGATACACATCCGTATCGAAAACGGAAGTACCCAAGGAACCGGCCACAACTCCCGCAAAATAAATCAGAGCAACTCTATCTGAACCGTGTACCATTTCCAATGGTAAACCTACCAGGAGTTGAACTACCAAGTTGAAACCTAAATGAAGCCACCTGGAACAAAGAATTAACTTGTTTAAGTAAATTTACATATTATAAATTGTGCCGAAAAAGAAAAGAAAAGTTGTTTTTGGTGCTTTTAAAACAACAATTTAGTGAATTTATTAGGTTGACGGTCCCTTATTATATAGTGCCGCTATAGTAGTAGGCTAATATTTACATTGACAAACAAAAATGAAGATTCTTACCCTGCATGTAGCAACATATAAAACAAAAACCTCCATATTTCCACTTTCTTGTCCGGACGGTAAATGAATATGGATTCTGTTGGTACCGGTCCTGCTGGATTTAATTCGCCAGTACCGACTGAATAGTAAACGAAGAATCCCAACTGAAACAATGAAAAGTATGATAATTTAGTTTTAGTGCAGTATTTAGAAAAGTTCACACAATTTTCTCTTAGACTAGACGCAGACTAATTAATAAATGGGTGTGTGTAAATTTGCATATTGTAATTAGTTGAATATTTGCCCATAAGTCACGTGTCTTATTATATAAATAATGAATTCCTAAAATAATTCAATAATTGTCTTATTTAATTATTATTATATCTTTGCGGAAATTGTAAAAGGAATTCATAAATTATTATATATGAGAAAATTTTTTGCCTCCTTCATTATAGAGAGAGGATCAATAAGTGTGGGACAAATTTTCCCCGTAACAAGGTTGAATTAGTTAGGCTCTATATTTAGAAAATGTTACTATAATAAAATTTGCATCGTTTCCTTTGTTCGGGGAAAAACGTGTCAATGCACCCCTTTGAAAATTAACTGTAAAATTAACCAGTCTAGACATTTGTTTTCTTGCATCAATTTTTCTTTATTCAAAGGCCATAAGGTTTTATTTCGAAAACTCCCTAAAATTGAAAAGGGCACGTGCTCAACGTTCCTACCTTCTGCTACCATAAACATCAGGTTTACCCCAAAAATTCGGATTCTTTTTAATCGACTCTGACATGTGGGGCCCCTAGAAAAAGAAGCCCGAAATGTGTCTAATTAACGCAGCCCGCTGTGCACCTAAATTATCTGAAAAATGGCATTCAAAGTTAATAGTCACATTAACCTGTTTATGTATGTGCCAACAACTAATTACATTATTTCAAATCGTGGGAAATTAAAAACGTAACAAGTTTTACAGCACAGCGTATATTAACCTAGTTGAGGTGAGGCAATATCTGAATCGATAAAAGTAGGTAGGGGTTGTTTATTGTTGCACCCCCCCTGGTCAAGGGTGGTTAATTGTGTTTTTCCCCTTATTTTTCGTCACATTTCGCCCCAATTCTGATGCGAAATAAGGAAAGGGCCATTAATAATGATAACGGTACAGTGTTGTCAAAAATATACAAGAACTTGTTTTTCGCACCAATTTGGAACGAAATTTGCTTAGTCATTTCTATATGTATTTTCCTTTTCTGGACCATTGAGGCACGTTTTCCCCAAGTTAATGAAATTGTGCACAATCTGGCAACAAAATCAAACACAACTTAAATATGTCTTTCTTTGTTTGACACATGCTTCCATTTATGAATTTGTCATTGTCGCACTCAATAATTGTCACTAAAGAAATGAGAAATAGGGGAAAGGAATTTTAAAAATATTGGTAATTTTTTTTCTATTCCAGGCTCTTGATTCCTTATTATAAATCATAATATTCCTGTAGAATCAGCTTTGAAGATTCCTGAAAAATACTTAGAGCCATCCTAGCAACTTGAAACTTTTAGGATTTGTTAAATGAAGTTTCTTCATGATACACAACAAGTTTGAAGTTGATATGAAAGTCACAACCAAAGTTATGGATTTTTTTACTCATTGATACTTGAGAAAATCATAAAATTCCTATAAGATCATCTTTGAAGATTTCTGAAAAATACTTTGAGCCACTTCAGCAACTTGAAACTTCCAGAATTTGTTAAATGAAGTTTCTTCATGATACAAAACAAGTTTGAAGTTGATATGAATGTCACAACTGAAGTTACGAATTTTTTTACTCATTGATACCTGAAAAAATCATAAAATTCCTATAGGATCACCTTTGAAGATTCCTGAAAAATACTTTGAGCCATCCTAGCAACTTGAAACTTCTAGGATTTGTTAAATGAAGTTTCTTCATGATACACAACAAGTTTGAAGTTGATATGAAAGTCACAACCAAAGTTATGGATTTTTTTACTCATTGATACCTGAGAAAATCATGAAATTCCTATAAGATCACCTTTGAAGATTCCTGAAAAATACTTTGAGCCACCTCAGCAACTTGAAACTTTCAGAATTTGTTGAATGGAGTTTCTTCATGATACAAAACAAGTTTGAAGTTGATATGAAAGTCACAACTGAAGTTACGAATTTTTTTACTCATTGATACCTGAGAAAATCATAAAATTCCTATAAGATCACCTTTGAAGATTCCTGAAAAATACTTTGAGCCATCCTAGCAACTTGAAACTTCCAGAATTTGTTAAAAGAAGTTTCTTCATGATACAAAACAAGTTTGAAGTTGATATGAATGTCACAACTGAAGTTACGAATTTTTTTACTCATTGATACCTGAGAAAATCATAAAATTCCTATAAGATCATCTTTGAAGATTTCTGAAAAATACTTTGAGCCACTTCAGCAACTTGAAACTTCCAGAATTTGTTAAATGAAGTTTCTTCATGATACAAAACAAGTTTGAAGTTGATATGAATGTCACAACTGAAGTTACGAATTTTTTTACTCATTGATACCTGAAAAAATCATAAAATTCCTATAGGATCACCTTTGAAGATTCCTGAAAAATACTTTGAGCCATCCTAGCAACTTGAAACTTCTAGGATTTGTTAAATGAAGTTTCTTCATGATAAACAACAAGTTTGAAGTTGATATGAAAGTCACAACCAAAGTTATGGATTTTTTTACTCATTGATACTTGAGAAAATCATAAAATTCCTATAAGATCATCTTTGAAGATTTCTGAAAAATACTTTGAGCCACTTCAGCAACTTGAAACTTCCAGAATTTGTTAAATGAAGTTTCTTCATGATACAAAACAAGTTTGAAGTTGATATGAATGTCACAACTGAAGTTACGAATTTTTTTACTCATTGATACCTGAAAAAATCATAAAATTCCTATAGGATCACCTTTGAAGATTCCTGAAAAATACTTTGAGCCATCCTAGCAACTTGAAACTTCTAGGATTTGTTAAATGAAGTTTCTTCATGATACACAACAAGTTTGAAGTTGATATGAAAGTCACAACCAAAGTTATGGATTTTTTTACTCATTGATACCTGAGAAAATCATAAAATTCCTATAAGATCACCTTTGAAGATTCCTGAAAAATACTTTGAGCCACCTCAGCAACTTGAAACTTTCAGAATTTGTTGAATGGAGTTTCTTCATGATACAAAACAAGTTTGAAGTTGATATGAAAGTCACAACTGAAGTTACGAATTTTTTTACTCATTAATACCTGAAAAAATCATAAAATTCCTATAGGATCACCTTTGAAGATTCCTGAAAAATACTTTGAGCCATCCTAGCAACTTGAAACTTCCAGAATTTGTTAAAAGAAGTTTCTTCATGATACAAAACAAGTTTGAAGTTGATATGAATGTCACAACTGAAGTTACGAATTTTTTTACTCATTGATACCTGAGAAAATCATAAAATTCCTATAAGATCATCTTTGAAGATTTCTGAAAAATACTTTGAGCCACTTCAGCAACTTGAAACTTCCAGAATTTGTTAAATGAAGTTTCTTCATGATACAAAACAAGTTTGAAGTTGATATGAATGTCACAACTGAAGTTACGAATTTTTTTACTCATTGATACCTGAAAAAATCATAAAATTCCTATAGGATCACCTTTGAAGATTCCTGAAAAATACTTTGAGCCATCCTAGCAACTTGAAACTTCTAGGATTTGTTAAATGAAGTTTCTTCATGATACACAACAAGTTTGAAGTTGATATGAAAGTCACAACCAAAGTTATGGATTTTTTTACTCATTGATACCTGAGAAAATCATAAAATTCCTATAAGATCATCTTTGAAGATTTCTGAAAAATACTTTGAGCCACTTCAGCAACTTGAAACTTCCAGAATTTGTTAAAAGAAGTTTCTTCATGATACAAAACATATTTGAAGTTGATATAAAAGTCATAACTGAAGTTACGAATTTTTTTACTCATTGACACCTAAGAAAATCTTAAAATTCCTGTGAAATCACCTTTAAGAATTCCTGAAAAATACTTTGAGCCATTCCAGCATCTTGAAACTTTCAGGATTTGTCAAATACAATTTCTTCATGATATAAAACAAATTGGAAGTTGATATGGAAGTCGCAACCAAAGTTATGGATTTCTTCACTTATTGATACCTGAGAAAATCATAAATTCCTATAAGATCACCTTTGAAAATTTTTGAAAAATGCTTTGAGCTATTCCAGCATCTTGAAACTTTCAGGATTTCTCAAATAGAGTTTCTTCATGATATAAAACAAATTATAAGTTGATACGAAACTTACAACCAAAATTATGGATTATTTGACCCATTGATATCTAAGAAAATCATGAAATTCCTGTAAAATCACCTTTGAAGGTTCGTGAAAAATACTTTGAGCCATCCTAACAAATTAAAACCTTCAGGATTTGTTAAATGAAGTTTCTTTATGGTACAAAACAAATTTGAAGTTGATATGGAAGTCACAACCAAAGTTATGAATTTTTTCATTCATTGATACCTAAGAAAATCAGAAAATTCCTATAAGATCCACCTTTGAAGATTCCTGAAAAATACGAAGCATCCTAGCTGGAAAACGAAGAGCCTGGGAGAAAAATTTTATATACAAAACTTGTAGATCTCATTGAGAACTACAAAAAAGCCTATTAGAGTTGCCCCTTTACGAGTCAGCGTTTTTGAGAAAATCGACTTCGAAACGTTCAATACATTTTTAGAGAAATTCCAACTTTGACGGCTTATATCTTGGAGACAGAAACAACCTGGAATATCACTAAAAAAACAATTTTGTAGGTAATTTAATTCTCTTTCGAACGAAACCTGACTCAAGAGAATCGGTTAAAAAATACCGAAGCTATAGGCGAAAATGTGGCGCCGTGTTTGATCCCCGAAATTTTCCAGGATCCAAATCTCTTTTATTTTTTTTGCAGGCTTAGGAAGCGTCGGAGCGAAAAACGCCTAGAGACATTTTCGACGTATTTTTTGCTCCTCTATCCAATTGTATTTTTTATTTTCCGAAATTTGGAAAAGTAAGTGCAAGACGTGTAAACCCCATTACACGCCATTTTTCGAGGCTAAAACCCCTCCGGTAGGTCATAGAGGGCTAAAACTTGGAATATCAATTCTTTTACACCTGTTTTACCTACATTCCTAATTAACTGAAGTTTTTCCATGATACAAAACAAAAATGGAGGTTATTACTACTGAAAACCTAAATTCAAAAGCCTGAAAAAGTTAAAAAATTGACACAAAAGAGAAATAGGCTTTTGGATATTCCTTATCCTTCAATAAGGAATTTAGTAGAAAACAAAAATTCAAGAGCCTGGAAAAGTCAAAAAATTACTGGACTATTGAGGCATGTTTTTCCTAGGTTAATAAAATTGTGCACAATCTGGCAAGTTCCTATTGTTATACTCATAGCAGTGATAACGTTGCCCTGTTGACATATTTTTCAGTGAATAATTCCTGTTACTTTAATTAGTTTGACATGTTGATGTCCTGTAAAAAATCTAGTCATTTAGTTCTTGAAAAAAAAAACGCACAGTTACAATAAGGCCCTGATGATGCAAATATATTTTTGCGAAACGTTGGCTTACTAAAAAAGTGATTTTTTACTATCACTGTCGATTCTTAAACCCACTAATAATTCCACACCTTGAATGTCTCTCTTTGTTTGACACACACTTCCATTTATGAATTTGTCATTGTCGTACTCATTAGTTTGCATAATTTCAATAAAAAACAATTTTGTAGGTAATTTCATCCTCTTTCAAGAGAAACCTGACTCAAGAGAATTGGCTAAAAAATACGGTAGTTATAAGCGAAAATGTGGCGCCATGTCGGGTCCCCGAAATTTTCCAGGATACAAATATCTTTTATTTTTTTGCGGGCTTAGGAAGCGTCGGAGCGAAAAACGCCTAGAGACATTTTCGACGTATTTTTTGCTCCTCTATCCACTGGTATTTTCTATTTTTCGAAATTTGCAAAAGTAAGTGCAGGACGTGTATACCGCATTACACGCACTAAGGGCTAAAACCCCTCCGGTAGGTCATAGAGGGCTGAAACCTGAAATATCCCTTTTTTTAGACCCCCTTTTACCTACATTTCAAATTTCGTTCGAATCGACCAAAAAAAAATGTTTAGGTGCCCCCAGGGGGCTTTGCCTTCTAGATAGGGATTTCGTGTATTTTTTTCTCGATAAAGCTCATGTTCCACTACATTCGTACCAAATTTCAGCGCGACAGGATCATCGGTTCGCCCTCACCGAATTTTTGAAAATTAACTCTCCCCATCGATGGGGGGGCTAAATAAATTTCCAAATCGAGTCGTCATTTTTAGATCGCAAAAGGGGTCCGTTCTCGAGATATCGCGTTTTTTATGTTTTTCCCCCCTTAAAATTTTTTCAAAAAATCTAATCTAATAGGTTCATTATGTTCTTGGTTCAATTAGAACCAGTTCCAGATCAATTCTGAACTAATTCTACTGGTTCGAGAATCATAAGTGTAATTTTATGCAGATTATTTGCAAACTTTTACTGGTACAGAGTTGTAATTTTGTGTCCGGACATTGTTCGGACTAGAATAAAACATCGAACTGGTTCTGGTTTACAGTAGGTGTGTGTTCTATCCTAAAATAACTTCCAAACTGGTTCGGAGTAGGTTCGTTATGTTGTCCCTAATTCAATTAGAATCAGCTCCGGATCGATTTTGGTTTTTTTTTTCTATTAAAAACTTGAAAATCCTAAATAAGTTCTGACCTGGTTCGGAGTGAGTTCATTATATGTTCAAAATCGTGGATCACTACTTAAATTTGAATTTGTAGTTACTTAAAGTTCTTTGTTCTTGGTTCAACTGGAATCGGTTCTGTATAGATCCTGAACTAAGCTGCTTTCGGGTGTAGAGTGCAAAACTCGTAGAACACTTGATAACTGATATGCTTTCTGCGTTTTGCACTCGAACGCTTGAAACCGAACGGGTCAAACTGTAGACGGAGTACTTTGGAGTAACTCAGGACTGCTCAAAGGGTGGCACCCGAAAGCAGCTCTTAGTTTTACCGGTTCTAAAGCTTAACCTAAAAACAATAAGTTCAGGTTCTTTTTAAGAGTTACTCCAAACGTATAGTTCTGAACAACTGGGCCAATTGAAATGATTATACTGAACTGATTTCGTATTACTCCAAAGTCCTTTTCAATGGTTAGAAACCCTGGAGCTGTACGTATTACGGAGGAGTTATTTGGAGTAACTCCCAATGAAACGGATCACTATTCAGAGCTAATTCGGTATTATTTCAATGTCCTCTGTTCAAAATCGTGGTTCCTTGTTCTTGGTGCAACTGAAATCGGTTTCGGATAGATCCTGAACTAGTTTTACCTGTTTAACAGAAACAATAAGTTCGGGTTCTTTTTAGGAGTTACTCCAAACGTATAGTTCTCTGGTTCAACTTGGCCAATTAAAATGAACATACTGAACTAATTTCGTATCACTCGAGAGTTCTTTTTAAGAGTCGGAAGCTCCGGAGCTATACGTATTACAGAGGAGTCATTTGAAGTAACTCTCAATGAACTCCTTTTTTTTAAATCCAAGTGCTCCATTGAACAATTTCGGATCACTTTTCAACGAAAATTGAAAAAGTAAGTGCAAGACGTGTATGTTCCATAACACGCCCTTTTTCGAAATTGGGGGGAAAAGGGGCTAAAACCCCTCCGGTAGGTTATTGCCTTCTAGACAGGGGCTCCCCATATATATATATTTTTTTTTTTTCGATAAAATGTCCACAACTCGGTCTTGAAGAAACCTCGGGTCGTCATTTTTAGATCGCAAAGGGAGTCCGTTCTCGAGATATCGCGTTTTTTTTATGTTTTCTCCCTTGAAATTTTTTCAAAAATAGGCGTTTTGAGAAAAGTGACTGAACCAAATGAGTGATGCAGTTCTATATGGTCATTGTAAAAAAAGTCAGACAATAGTCTTCGAATTTATTTACACCCTCAAAATCTATGAGTGGTATCAGCTTCCAACTTTTGAAGAAATTGAATCCAAGATGGAAGAGGCAAATATTTTTTCAATACTGGACGGCAAAAGGGCTTTTATCAGATCAAGTTGCATGAAGAAAGTGAAATACTTACAACATTTAATGCTGTGATATTGTTATAGGAGAATGGAGAATGCCTTATGGATTGTGCTCTGCACCAGAAGTTTTTCATCGTACATTCAAGAATATGTTTGATGGACTTCCAGGATTGGAAATTTACATAGATGATGTTATAGTCTGGGCAGCGAATAAAGAAGAACACGCCAAAAAACTGGAAGCAGTGTTAGACAAAGCTAAACGTGCCAATGTTCGTTTCAATTGACTTAAGTGTAAATTTGGGTTAAGTGGAGTAGGTACATTATGTGTTTACAAAAAAATGGTTTACGTCCTGATAAAGACAAGGTGAGTGCTATGTTGCAATTAACACAATCCAAAAAACAAAAAAGAACTACAGAACTATAGGTATTTCAAATGTCCGAACCTTACAATTACTGCTGAAAACAGAAATTCAAGAGCCTGGAAGAATCAAAAATTGATACAAAGGAAAAAAGATTTCAATAAATTTGAAGTTAACGTTTCAAACCCAAACTAAAAAAATCTCAATCCTAAAACTCCCGCCATGTGTACGTTTCCCGAAATGTAGAAAGCCCCCGATGTAGTGAACCTGCGATTGATTACTTCCTATTTTACCTTAAACAGCTGGTCTTAAGACCCCCGAGACTTTGAGGTTTATTTTTACGTTTTAACACAAAATTGAGTACTTACTTCAACTAAAGTAATCAAGATGATGAACAAAGGCGGCGGACAACACGTATAGTGATCTGCGTAGTACTTTCTGTCCCTGTCGTCCGTAAGGAACTCGTCTGCTACAATAGTGACCATCCTAGAAAAAAATAAATATTGACTATAATAATCTACAATAGCTTTGTTTGTATGTAATTGAGAGAGAAAAATACATACATAAAAGTATCAAAACTATCTTTATTGTTTGACATTTTTTGCCTGACTAATTTAGCTTCCAGACAGACTATTTTTAAAACCGATCTTTCAACGTTTCCTTCGTTTTTGTTTCCTGTTCTTAGAGAGTTTCCTCTCTTCTAAATTAACATCAGAGTAAAAATAAACAGAGTTCGAAGTGCGAAAAAACCATAAATTAATTCACTACTTGTTTGATGAATAAATAATTAACTAAAATAAACATTATAATACTCTTAAATCCTCTCAAACATTTGGAAAAGTAAGTATGTAGGTATATTTAGAATTGAGTGTTGGAGTTTTCTTTTGAAGATTTTTAAGCCTCGTACAGACTTTCTAGCGTTGGATATTCGGCCTGTTTTTGATGATTACTTACCTACGAAATAATGGTGGTTCAACTAAAAGCAAATGAAAATCGTTTTCGGACGATACCTCTCGGTCCCTGTGGTGGACGGCACATTTAAAGCTTCTGGATCGTTTTCCGGTCATCTGAAACAAACCAAAATCAAATTTCCTTTTGATAATTAACAATTACGCGTTATCTCGAGATCGCGATATTTTTGCCCGAGACTTTTTTAATTGCCTTTAAGGGCCCGGTCTACATATAACTCATCTCGATTAGATCGGAATGCCGGAGGAGAGATTGCAATTTATACACGCCCTCCTCGGCTTAACTAAATTAAACCATGGTAAAATGTATTAATTAAATAAACGTTGACGAGAATAATTAACACAAGTTATTTGGAGGGCGACAATAATAAGAGTCGAAATCAATTTGTCGGTGATGGAGCTCTTTATCTCGTCAAGGCAACTCAATCAACTTTCGTTTAAACGTCCATTTGTTACTGCGGTACGTTATTAATCTCTTTCTTGGTGGAACGCCAACGATGAATCTGGGGTTGCCAAGGTAGTACCAGAAAGCTTAGATTTACAAGCTTAGTTTATTTACCTTCTGATAAACTGTTTAGGTTGTCTTGTAGACAGTTACCAGTAAGTTTATTATGGAAAATGAATAAACCAGGCTTTAGACCAGGGCCGGATCGGGAAATTTTTCCGGCCCAAGTTGGAGTCCTTATATTGGCCCCACCTAGTAGCCCAGTGGGAGATCCATTTATGCAAAAATATAGACTCAATTTTACAAGGAAAATTTAATTCATCTCTGAAAATAATAATTTGATTGTAGTGTAGGATGAATTAAACAAAAATTGAGATGGAAAAATGTGAATATTCATATTTTTTCTATTCCAGGCTCTTGAATTTTCTTTATCAAAACAAATTCGAGAGCCAGGAATAGACGAAAATTGATTTAGAAGTGAGCCAGGCCTCCGCTGCCATATTCTTGCCAATTTTTAATAAAAATTAACCACTGTAGCTAATATGATAGTTTCCACTTGGTTCCAAATTATCAGCTAACCAATAGGGCTAGTGATTAAAATAACTCCGGCCCTTCGGACTGAAGGCTCGGACTGAAGGCTCGGACTGAAGGCTCGGACTGAAGGCTCGGACTCGCATATTCGAAAGGTGAAGTTAACTGATATTACTCAATACACTTTTACAGGAGGCGACAATAGAGGTCTTGTCGCCATATTTTTGCTAATTTTGAATATTTCATTGGTGAATATAGAAGTGAGTCAGGCCTCCGCCGCCATATTTTTGCCAATTTTCAATATGAATATAAAGGATTTCAAAATTAATCACTGTAGCCGCAATATGACAGTTTCCACTTACCAGAGAATATTTCCTATGAAAAATGGCATTTAATTTGAATATTAACGTGCCGATTATGGAAAATCCACTTCCTCGTATCACAAGAAACATTTTCCGCACTGACATCTATTGAAAATCGGAAAATCTTCGAAAAAAACCAATGACAGCCAAAAAACACAATTTTAAAATGGCCGCCCAAGGCCTGCTTCGATGTTTTTGAAACGTGAAGTTAGCTAATTAAAAATTAGATTCTATTGCCACCACTAAAAAAAAGTGAACTCAATTTGAATGAGTGAGAAAGAGAAAGCACGATTGTAGGATGAATTAAACAAAAATTGAGATAGAAAAATGTAAATACATATTAATATTTTCTCTATTCCAGGCTCTTGAATTTTCTTAATTGAGACAAATTCGAGAGCCAGGAATAGACAAAAATTGATTTGGAAAAATTGACTTACCACTCAATAAATAAATAAATAAATAAATAAATAAAAAAAACCAATTCCTCGTATCACAAGAAATATTTTCCGCACCGGAATCTATTGAAAATCGGAAAATATTCGAGAAAAACCAATGACAGCCAAAAACACAATTTTAAAATGGCCGCCCAAGGCCTGCTTCGATGTTTTTGAAACGTGAAGTTAGCTAATTAAAAATTAGATTCTATTGCCACCACTAAAAAAAGTGAACTCAATTTGAATGAGTGAGAAAGAGAAAGCACGATTGTAGGATGAATTAAACAAAAATTGAGATAGAAAAATGTAAATACATATTAATATTTTCTCTATTCCAGGCTCTTGAATTTTCTTAATTGAGACAAATTCGAGAGCCAGGAATAGACAAAAATTGATTTGGAAAAATTGACTTACCACTCAATAAATAAATAAATAAATAAATAAATAAAAAAAACCAATTCCTCGTATCACAAGAAATATTTTCCGCACCGGAATCTATTGAAAATCGGAAAATATTCGAGAAAAACCAATGACAGCCAAAAAACACAATTTTAAAATGGCCGCCCAAGGCCTGCTTTGATGTTTTTGAAACGTGAAGTTAGCTAATGAAAAATTAGATTTTCCTTAAAAATTCAATTTTTTGCACCTTGCGGCAAAGTAAATGTTCTTTTTCGTATAAAATTTTACAAAACGCAATAGGACAATCCAATTATCTGTCAAATCATCAATTCAATATGGCGGCAACAAGCAAGCATCTGCGATGTGTGTTTATGTCAAGCTTCCTAAAGTAAAGGAGCATTTACATTCACTTCTAACTTCAAGTTAAATTTGACGTTTGATATTTTATCATTTTTTACATTGCGGAATATAAACGTCAAGTCAAAAAGTCATAATTTTATGAGAATCAGATGGATAATCTAAAAATTTGACATTTCACCGCTCGCCCAAATTTAAAGTGAACTTCAAATTTATTTCAATGGAAATGGATCTGTGCTGTCGTCATATGACAAGCACGTCAATTACAAGACAAATTGGACTTTGAAGTGAATATAAATGTACCATTAAAGGTTGCCTGGGTAACTTGATGACGCATCTGGGGTGCCTTATGGAGATTTGCATTATGTTGAGGCACCCCAGATGACGTCATTAAGTTATCAGACAACCCACCTCTCCCAAACAACCTTGTGTTTATGTATAGAAATATCAAATTATCAAAACCCAATGTGGCGGTTATGGTCAAAAAACGGAATTGGCGTCAAAAAAATCCTTCACCTTCAGGCAACCCTGTTATCATAACACTTTTTTCTGTGTGTAATTTGTAAATATTCAAAGGGATTTCCTATTGCTCGAAAAGGATAATTTACATATTTTCGTAATATACATAAACAAAAAAAACATCATCACAGATGTTTGACCGTTATCGCCATATTGAATTTATGTTTTCACAGGTCGTTGGATTGCAAAGATAATACAGACTGCTTATCGCAAGATTCCTAAAGTTAGTAGCTTGTTTGGTAATGGGTAACTTGATGACGCATCTGGCGTGCCTTATGGAGATTTGCATTATGTTGAGGTACCCCAGATGACGTCATTCAGTTATCAGGCTCTCAGTCTCAAACAACCTTGGCTTATTGGCCCTGTTTATGGTAATCGCCGCCATATTGGTATGTCACCATTTCCGACGTCATTAACAAGTCGTCAGCTGTTTGCACTAGAAGTCGTAGTTTAGAATTTAAATTAATGATGAAAAATATTTAATTTTGATTAACATAATAGGCAAAGAGGATGATGAAAACGATATCTAAAACAGAGTTGTTTTAGAATGTCAATTATTGTGGTAGAACCAAGTAAGCCCGAGGAATCATAACCTGTCGTGCAAACAGCCATACGTCAAGGTCAAAAAGAACGTGCTGCCTACGTCACAACTGGTGATTTGGCGTCACACAGGTTTTATGAAGAAGGCTATCCTGTAGTAGTGTGTATTATCCTTGGTTGGATGGGTTCATTTTGAAATGGCCGTCCAAATCCTACTTTGATGCTTTCAAAACGTGAAGTTAGCTAACGGAAAATTTTCATTTTTCTTGATGAAAAAAATCAGATTTTCTTTAAAAATTACCAAAAATTCAATTCCTTGAACCACAAAAAAACATTATTTTTCGTAGAAAACCACCAAAATGCAATAGGGCAATCTAACGACTTGTCAAAACACAAATTTAATATGGCGGGAAACTCACACAAGATTTGCAAATTTAACTGAAATTTTAAATAGATCGAAACACACACAATATTGAAATTGTAGATTATTACGAAATTTAAGAAAAATTTATAATTTTATTTCTATTCCAGGCTCTTGAATTTTCCTTATTAGCTAACAATAACCTTAGAATGTGCCAAATCCTAGATTTGTTGCTACAATAACAATAATCACTTACAGCCACAGGCTTGGTTTATTCCCATACTGATAAACTGTTGGATAAAAATACAATCTAATTTAGGTTGTCTTGAAGAAAATTACTAACAAGTTTATTAGAAGATGAATAAACCAACCTTTAGACCACTTGACTGGCAACTGAAAATCAAGCGACCTTTAATACAACCTGTGATTAGTTAGGGCTTATGCTTGTGCAAAACCGTGTGTTACGACCTTAAATCCAAGTCGAGTTGCAAATGACATTCACTTGTCTGTCAACATTGAAAGGCGTTTTTCAGAATTCACCGGTAATAATTGTCAATTCTATTTGAATTATATAAAGATTTTGCACGTGAATCTCCCAAAATTGACAATAAACTATATTGAAATTAAAAACATAAAGAAAATTCTGGAATAAATGAAAAAAAAATCTTAAAAAATCTCTGAAGACCCAATACACCTGTCATTAATGTCATTTATTAGTTTGCCGAGGATTGAGGCCGTCACACACAGTTTTCCATAACGTATAAACATAAGCACTACTTTCGTCGAGAAAATTCGGTTATTTACTTGTTTGACAACAGTGTCAACATTGAAGGGTGTTTTTCAGAATTCACCGGTAATAATTGTCAATTCTATTTGAATTTAATTGCATGTAAATCCCCCAAAATTGACAACATGCTATATTGAAAATATAAAAAAAAATTCAAGAGTCTGGAATAAATGAAAAAATTTCTTTCAAAATCTTTGAAGACCCTATACATCTGTCACATGTCACTAATGTAATTTTGTAGCTTACCGATGATTAAGGCCGTCAAACACAACTTTCCATAACGCATAAGCATAAGTTTTAACCAATCACAGGTTGAATCAAGCGACATTTAATACAATCTGTGATTGGTTGGTGTTTATATTTA